GAAAATCCCCGATTTAAATTTTTCTGATTTTCAAAAGCTATTGGACAGCAAGCATAATTTGATTATCTATTTTTCTTTACCAAATTGTCATCATTGTCAAAAGTTGCAACCTGAATTTGCAATTGCTGCTCAGGTAAAAATTACTTCAAATGTAAAACTTGTAAATAACCAATTTAACTTTTACAATCTATAATTCATTTGGTAGCCATATTAATTATAAAATCTGTTTAATTTCAGTTGCTGGATAAAATGAAATTTGGAAGGATTGACTGTTCCTTTTATATACATAAATGCGAACAATATATAAAACAAAGTATACAGGTACAATATGTATCCTTTCCGACGCTAATATTATACAATTCTAAAGAAAAAAAACAAAGTAAGCACAATAGCGTCGAAATTGTTGCGAGAACGACTCAGAAAATCAGGGATGAAATTTTTAAAATTATTAATTCTCGCACAAAACATGACGAATTATAATAGACAAAGTGCCTAAATTGAATTTAAAGCTTTTATTTTATCGTTGCGGTCATATATAAATTCTTTCCTCACAATGTATAAATAAATTTATTTTTTCATATGTCATCACAGACTTTGATATAAATTAGGGCGACGATTGGTTTTTTCAATATGTAAGTTAATAATTAAATTTATTAAATAGACTTAATTATTTGTTATAATATCCTATGTTTTCATTGAAAATGTAGGACATATGCAGATTGAAATATGCATTTATTTATTTTGCAGAATATATAATGTATAATATATATTTAGCAAATATCTATTATCAAACGTAGTGATGGCATAGGAAAAACTAATTTATTTCAATACAAGAAAGAAAAAATTGATATAATTTCTTGCATCATAATTTAATTTGCTGAATTATTGCAACGACGGAATAGAAATTATTGACAAATTTTAATAATCTACTTATTTGGTAATTGATCTGTTGCTTGACTGTCACAACTGATGCTTGTCGTTTATGTTGACATGTTCCATGCTTACAAAGGGAACAAAGAAAAAAATTAGATTAGGTATATTTTTTAGTCTTATTGTGATACTTTTATACATTTTACACATTTTGTACATATCATTATATATAATGTAAATATAATTAATATTATGTACGTATATAACTAAATAAAATCTAGATGAACAAAACAATTTGGAATCTCAAGTATCAAATTAAAAATTTAATCATAACAAAACTCTTTTCCAATACTTATCGGAGATTCTGTTTGTACAGAAAGAAACATGAATCATAAATTATTCATTAACATGAGGTAAGTCAAAAGTCTTATTTTCTAATATTTCTGATATTTTTAAGATGTTATTGAAAATAGATTTCAAAGACAAAATAAGCACAATAACGTCGAAATTGTTGCAAGAATAACTGAGAAAATTAAGGATGAAATTTAAAAAATTTATTCTCGCATAAAACAAGATGAACTATAATAGTGTCTAAATTGAATTTAAGGCTTTTATTCTAATTTAAGTCATATGTGACTTCTTTTTTTGTACGACTTTATTATTGCAATCATACATGCATTCTTTCTTCGCAATGTACGAATAAATTTATTTTTTCATATATCATCACACAAACTTTATAAATTGGAAAAATATACGATTGGCTTTTTCAGTACGTGAGTTAATAATTAAGTAGACTTAATTATTAGTTACTTAATCATCTGTTATAATATCCTATATTTACAAAGCCCATTTTCATTGAAAAATGTAGGACATATGCAGATTGAAATATGCATTTATTTATTTTGCGGATACATAATGTATAATATATATTTAGCAAAAATCTATTATCAAACGTACAAGTGATGGCATAGGAAAAACTAATTTATTTCAATACAAGAAAAAATTGATATAATTTCTTGCATCTGGCATCATAATTTAATTTGCTGAATTGTTGCAACAAGAGACTAGAAGTTGTTAACAAATTTTAATAATGTACTTATCTGGAATTAATATATTGCTGACCGCAACAACTGGTATTTGCCGTTTATCCTGATATATTCCATGCTTTCCAAAGGAACAAAGAAAAAACTAGACCAGATATACTTCGTCCTTTTGTGATATTTTTATACATGTTTTATATACATAGTAATTAATAAAATATTTATGAACAAATTAATAAAATCTAAAATCTCAAGCATTAAATTAAAAGTTCAATCACAACGAAACTCTTTTTGTATCTTTATCGGAGGTTCTGTTTGTACAGTAAGAAACATGGATATCATAAACGTCATTTATTAATATGAGATAAACCAAAGTTATTATTTTTTAATATTTCTAATATATTTTTAAGAAGTTATTAAAAAATAAGTTTTTACGGTTTTCTCTTTTTATAAACGTATTAACATTTAACTCGATGAAATATCTGAGTTCTTTCTAAAAATAACGTCCAAGTATAATTGTTACACAAATATAAGAATTAAGAGATAAATACGCTATAAAAAACGCTGGACCATTACGATTCCGTGTTTGTTGTTGTGTTTAAATGCGATATATCCAAATATTTTATATATAAAATAATACACATTTTACGCATGTAGATATTTAAAACTATTTGTATAGTTTGTTTCAATTATAAATATATAAATGAATAGAATATCGAATATCAAAGATGTCTAAACGTGCTGTGCTTCTTTTTTTGTAAGTTCTTCTTCTCATTTATTAATTACACTAATATGTACTCAAATAGAAATTAATTTTTCCAGTGATTAAATTTAAAGGTGGAATGTGTTAATTGAAGAAAAGCAATGCAACAGTATATTTCCATTATTAACAATTATGCACTTCGAAACTGTTGACAGGTAAACTTAAGTTATACTTTATATATCATTTCTATGAAAAATAATCTTGCTTTGATTAATTTTATCTTATATTATTATTTAATATAAATTTAAGATAAATACTCTTTTGAATAGAATAGAGTATAAGTAATTTTTAATACAAATGTACTTTCTGATATCACATAAATCGCGGCATGCGAAGGCAGTGCTAATAGAAAAATGCAATTGAGAATTAAATAAGTAATATAGCTGTTTTTACGGCGTATATAATTAAAGGATAATAAATACATAACTTTCCTAACATCAATTTCTTTGAAACAGAAAAAAGCTTTTCAATATCAAAAGTTTTAAAAATAAAATTACAGGGTTGCCACAAATTTTTCGTCCCAAAATTCCCTGACATTTCCTTAATTTCCAGACAAAATTTTCTGATTTTCTCTGACTTTCAGTAATACATATTTTGAAATATTTTTGTATTTTCATCCTGATTTGAAAATCGTTAAATATTTTGTTGATAGAGTAATTTAACATAACAGTGTAAATTATTATTGATGTTGCTAATACTGCATTTAATTGTTAAGTTAGTAGTATTTTTGTCTTTTCCTTTTATATATGAACAACGATTCTTTTCCCCTTCCTCTCTTTCTCTTGCTGCTGTTTATTGACAGCATAAATCAATGAATACAGTTTCTTTTTTATCAAAACTAAATCCTGTTTATTAAAATCTCAATCTGCTATTATAAAGGCTACTCTTCCCCCCACTACGCGTTATCAAGTGGTAGCTCAAGCCGTGAAAGCACATGAGGGCGTATAACTAAAATTGCGTGGCTGTGATGTACGCATATTTTAAACTTCTTTATAGCCATTTTATTTTTCCAGAAAATTTTGCTAAATCTCTGGACTTTTCCTTGACTTCCCTGACCATTTTCAAATTCCCTGACTTTTCCATGACTTCCCTGATTTCCCTGAATTGTGGCAACCCTGAATTACCAAAATATTTACCAAATATATAAATTTTTGTTAGCTTTTTTTATATTGCATATGTGTGATATATTTATAATATTAAATCTCTGATCGATGTCGCAAAAGAGACGAAACCTAACAGTTACAAACAAATCTGGCAAAATTCCATAATGTAATGAATATACAATAAACATAGACTGCATTAAATAAATCAACAATTTTAACTTAAAATAACATACATTGCGTATTTCTATCTATTAGCAAATAATAATACAGCGAAAGAAATTTTTGTTAAAACTTTGAAACAGAATACTTTGGTCAAGTTGATAAGTTTTATTACTATAGATCTTAAAGATAAAACGTTCTAACTAATATACAAAATGAAATAAATTCATTTAACATTTATTTGTAATAAAAATAAATTATTAGAGTTTATTAGGTTTATTCTTTTTTTTAAAATATGCAAAATCTAGATTTTTCTCCAGTCTTTTTTTTCTATATTTCCACATCATCTGTCTTCAATTTATCGTTTCTTTTTGTGTATAGAATATTGTTAAAAAACTTGGTTCAACTTTGGAAACATAGTCTATTAACTCTAATGTTAGAAAATAAGTTTATTAATTTTGATAATTTATATTATTTCGTCCCGGATTTTTTTTCTCTAAAAAATATTTTCAAAAATTTTAATTTCATATAAACTTATTGTATGCGGAGAATATGTTTCTAAAGTTAAAATGTACTTCTCGAAAATATTCAGTAACAATGTGTATAACTTTTAAAAAAATCTATTTGTTTTTCTTAGTATATTAATGCAGTATCTCTTATTCATTAATTAGCGACATTTCGTAATTCAGGACACACACATACATATAAAAGAATTTCGAAGTTATAAAGCATAAATATAATAAGATTAAGATTTTTGTGTCGATGTAACAACTTGATATCTTAAAAAGAAATAAATGTTCTGAAATTATATACTATTGTGTCAGTATAAGTATCGCATACTATGTGTATAGTTTTGTATATATGTAATTTCTATACATTTCGGAAAAATATTATTTGAAGACAATTATATATCTTTATAAGTGTTAATCGCTGGTCAATATTGCACTAACTTTTAAAAGATTGCAAATATATATGTTCTCTGGCGTTGATACATTATTAATATAATATAGTATACACATAATATGATACAGCTGATTGTAAAAGTATAATTTTATAATTCTCGAACCTGTAAATTGCTGGCATTAACGCACGACTAATAAGTCGTGTTAATATCCACCGTTTCGTGGTTCTAAATGTTGTTAACCATTTGTGAACCATTGTGATAAATTATAATACAAAAAACGTATATTATGTGTCACGTTTCGATGGTGGTATTAAATGTTCTGGTAGCTCAGGCGGTAAATCGTATCCTTCGAGCTTTATATTAATTAGATGCATAGCTAAGGCAAATTCGTCAGAGTCTAAGAATCCATCTTTATTAATGTCTGAAAGTTTCCAAATCTTTCCAAGCACGCTGTTTGGCAATTTGGACTTGACCATTTCTGATTTGGCCGCTAGTAATATAAAGTAATACATAATTAGAATATTTTATTTCAAATTGCCACACTTACATAAATATTGCATATTTATATAAAAGTGTTTTTGTAAATGCTGAAGTAATAAAGATCTATCTATATTGTATTATATTGTGTAGTATATATACTATAGTCAGGCTGTGATGTGTAGATATTAAATATGATAAGATAGAGAAATCTATATTGTGATACTCGGAGCTGAGATAGAATAGAATAGAATAAAGTAACATAGATACTTAGGAACGAACAAAAGTAGAGAATAAGATTTTTTTAATTTCTTTTTGGAGGCATAGTACATAAGGAAATTTAAACAGAGTTAAATAGTGTTGGGTTCTTTTTTTTGCAGTGTGGAAGGATGAGTGTGGTTAAGAAATTTATTGTAAACTGAAGTAATAAAGATCTATCTATCTATAAAAGTATGTATATAAATCCTTCCAATTATAGAAAATTAATAGAGCTATATAAGTAAAAACTATTATATCTTCAAATATATCAGCCATACCTGCTCCTGTAATTTTTCCATCTTGTGGTCCAAGTGATTCAAAGATGCTATCATATTTATATCTTTCCTTATTAACAATCCATTCTGGTTCACCTGCACCCGCATCAATTCCTTCTCCTCTTTTATATCCAAATGGACTAACTTGATCTTCTACACCTTCAAATGCTCCTCCTAAAATTGAGATATATATACAATTTTTTCTATAAATTTAAAATATATAAATACCATATTGTATATATTTTCTTGTATTAATTTTTTAATCAATTAAATTTAACTTTTAGCGAAAATTTTAGGGAAGAGTCAAACAATTTTTTGGAAGTATTTTGATTCAAGATTTACTAAGATTTAAATGTAAACAAATACCTTTAATAAGTGGTTCCGAAATAGTGGTGACTTCTTCATGTGGTATCATAGCCATAAGCTTTGCGATATCTTCGGCGAGCATTTTATCCACTATTTCTAATAACTTAGGCTTCAGGGGATTAAATTTATTAAAATCGTGATGTGCTAAGCTCTCTTGCATCTTCTTTAGATCCGGAAAATCACCAGGTGAAATCTGTTGCTCCCTTTGAATTTGATCGTAAATCTGGCCCAAATTTTTTATCAGTTCTTTTTTCTTAGTATCCTTACCAAACATACTCGGCATATCTTTCCGTAAGGCGCTTATTATGTATGCGTGTACCTATAAATTGATGCAAGAAACATTAGAGTCTTATCATGTATAACTAGTTTAAGACTTTAAATTGTAGAAAAAAATTTTATTCTTTGTTTCATACTTTTGCTAAGCGTGCTCGTTTAATTAAGTCATTGAGTTTTCTTAACGCAGCATTTCTTGGAAGCGACTGCATGTCTCTGAATAAATCTTGTTCTTCATCTTCAAATAGTCTAAAAGAAGATTCAAAAGACTTTTAAATATAAAATATTAATAAAAATTATATAATAAAAATAAACTAGAAGATACACAAGCACTTACCTTCTATTAACATCATATCTTAATGGCTGATCCCAAAATGAGCCAATATAAACTCTAGCTACTTCTGGAGTTTGTAATACCTTTCCTAACGACCACATTAGAGCACCATATACTCTCATGAGCTGTTGATGATCTATCATGTCAGCTTTATTAAGAACAATTCTAATTTTATCATCGTGTCCACGTAAGGCCTCGATAGATCTGCGGAATTCATCTGAGATATCGAGCTTATGAGCATCAAACAACAAGATAATCCTATCTACACGTTCAGCGAACCATTCTAAAACACCAGTAAAGTCATAGCCTCTGTCAACCTGAAGAAAACATCCAATATTCAGGATTTATCATATCACAAATATATCTTAATACATAAAAACAAAGCTACAAAAGCAATACCTACTCTTTGTTTCTCACCAGATAATATACCAGGCGTATCTACTATAGATATGCCTTTCAAAACAGGCGATGCTACAGTGGAACACTGAAATCTGTTCAAGAATGCATTGCCGAATTTTGAAAGTGGCCTGAACTGTTTGTTTGGATCTACGACCAAGGCATTTCCAGGAATGACTCCTTCCTTTTCATCGTACATGACAGCGATAAATCGATCCGTAGTAGGCTCTGGTCCGATTCTGATACCAGGAAACTCTCTTTCTAACAGATATTTGATAAACGTAGTTTTGCCAGTGGAATATTGTCCAACTAGGAGAATCATGGGTTTTGCATCAAAGTCTGGATCATCCAGCTGTGGCGAATGAAAGTCATGGAACTGATAATACTGTTCCAGTGGCAACAACTTGGATTTGTATATCCTCTTAAGGCCTTCGGTGACATTTTCGAAGAGATCTTGCTTGCTATTCTCTTCGCGATTCAGCCAGCTAAACATGTTGATAATCTGCAACAAATTGAGTTCTATATTCTTGCTAATGAACTTGTCATCATGTATATTTGTGCACAGTCTGAATTCCAAAGACTCGTCGCGTTAGCATTAAGTAACACCGTGTCCTGTTAATTACGTTTACTTTGTTTGAGCTACTGTAAGTACGAATTGTGACTCATTGTTAGACTACAATTCTAGACCATTCGTTCCGGACTGGTGCAAGACGGCCTAAAGGTTAAGGTTATCACATAAATTATATCAGACTACTCCGCCTCCAAATTCCACGCTTGTGCCTTCGAGTGTCTTTCAAGGTAGACTGAAGATAAACTGAAAGGATATCGCGTGGAACATCGTATCTGCCTATTGAGAACTCGGTCATGCTTTGTTCTAGAAAGCAACTTATCGATAACCACCTTCTTTCCCTAATATTCTATCCAGCACCTCCTTTCGAGGAATAATTGAGATTCTTGAATACTTGAAGCGTGCAATGAAGAGTGAAGTGCAAAAATGCAAAGAGTGTGAAAAGGAACACGTGGACGGGGTCTAAGTAGAGGAAGAGAGAGGGAGAAAGGGGAACCCAGAGAGCACCGTTGAACACCAACCTTTGCTCGTATCCGCCGGTCAAGGATGAACGGGTGCGCTTGACAGAGCGCGACGGACGCGAGGGCGAGCGCGGACTAACGGGAGAGCGCGGTTGAAGGCAACGCTCCAGCGGCTCCGGTCGACCAAGACGTTCCAAGGTGGTCCGCTGCCGACGTGACGTATACACGACCCAAACCGATCGCGGAAGAATACGAGCGATACGGATTTCCGGAACGAACGTGGTGATGGTGGTGGTGGCGGCGACGTTGGTGGTGGTGGTGGTGGAGGAGGACGTGGGTGGACGTGGTGGTTGTCGCTCGGATTTCTGCCACGATGCTCACCGAGTCACGATCGCCAGCGGTGACGTAAACAGCGGTGGAAGGCGCGTCGCGCTGCGCGAGCAGCTCGGGAAAACGAGCGATCGCGAGGCGGAGCCGTGCCCGATAAACCGGGATTGATACAATACACGCTCTTGGAGAAGATAGATGACGCACGACCGACGGCTCAGAACGACCGCACGACTCTGTGACAGGTTGCCGACAGGCTCGACTGCAACCACTGTACGGCATTCAGCATTGGGCTCAGTGCCGACAACCGACAATTGCCAAAGCGCAAACGAGAGGAGGGTGAGGGGGAAAGGGTTGTTGACTAATGGGACAAACCCCGAGTTCACACATTATGAATCGTTTCCATAATGCTACGTTAGTTAAATGAACAATTAAATTGACGGTAAATTAAGTAATAAGAATAAATGAGTAAATAAATTAATTAACACGACTGAGTTTATTGAATAGAAATGTCAATAAGTGTTATATTGGTTTTTTTAATGAATATACTTAAATTATTTCCCGTTAAACAAACTAACACAGTACATCAACGTTATGATTTCCTATTTAATAATATAACTGTAACATAACACATGTTGTATATATATATAACAGTTTACATTATTATTGCTAAGTAGGAAATTATAATATTGATGTGTAATAATGTTACTGTTAGCTTGTGCTCGAGTTATGAATAACTTTAGGAACTGCACAATGGAAGATATATTGAAAATAGAAATAAGCATTAATAAATAAATAATGAATGTTAATTAATATTATAGAAATAAAAAAATTAGGAATAGAAATAGAATTTAAGTCATAATAGATATAAATCTATGATGTGTATCTTATATCATGTTTGTATCCATTGTGTGTTATGTTTAATCCCTCTATTTTTCTAATTTTATTTCTTTAATATTTAATATTTATTTCATTATTTATTTTTTTAATTTTTAATTTTTTTCTTTATTTATTTAAAAAAAAAATTTCTGTTATTTCTTAATATTTCCTTCATTGTGCGTAAGATTTTAAGGTTCAAATAAAAAGAATAAGAAGAGGGAGTAATACAAACACACATATATACACACTCATCAGAAATTGCTATGTACTATGATACACAATTTTTAATAGGTCTAATCTAGGCCTAATCTATTGCCTGTGTGTTATTCTCTGTTCTTTATTCTTTTCATTGTGCTCTCAATAATACGAATAAATGAACGAATGAATTCATTAATTAATGGATCTGTTCTTTGTAGCAGAGGGTATACTCGTTGTACACTTGAAATGAATAGATATACATTTAAAGTTTAGTAAAAGCGAGAAAGAAAGTGCAGTCCAGCGACAAAAAAATCTAATTAATATAGCTGAGTTTAAAATTAATTAGACAAAGGAAAATGAGAAGAGTGGGGCCGGTATTCATAATCAGTTCTTATATTTAAGACCGCCTTAAGTACAGTCTTAAGATGTCATAAACCAATCATAGCGAGTCACGTTAATATTTTTAAGATATTACTCAAGATGATCTTGAAATAAGAACGGATTATTAATATTGGCCTGGAATGCGGAAATCGACTTGGAAATCTTAATTAGAGATCAATTTTTACGATTTAAAGTTTTATCTTCAATCTTGAGAAAAAACAGGACTCGAGACTAACTCGAGATTAGTTGCTGAACGCATTTAGTGCGAGTTACGTGCGCAAGTTCAAGTCGATGACAGGATCGATAGTTCCGCGGTCGAACGTCGCGTGTTTTATCGGAGGTGTCTCATCGCTCTTCGTGCCGAGAACAAACGGAAAATAACACATACAGAAACAGCTGGACGCGGGCAGGAAATGTAGAAATACGAGATAACAAATATCGCGTATTTAATCTCCATTACCTATTTTCTTTCTTATTTTATTTCTCTTATCAAACGCGACGCGACGCTCGTGCTTGTAGGATTTCGGCTTGTGAGAGTCCGACCGATTATCTCTTTCTCGGCAGAGTTTTCCGCTTTCAGATTTCCGCGATTCTTTATTGCACTTCGCAATTTTCGTTGCGAAACCAAGTTACTCATTAAAGTATTCGCGCGATATTCCGGACATTCCCGCATTTTGAATTGCATTCATCGCACGCGTTCCCGCGCGAAGTTAGGCATTCTCGGTTCAGGCGCGAAGTTGTCGAGTTCGGTTGCTACGATTATTTTTCAAATTTCGTCACTTCGCAGTTCCAAGAGAGTTGCGCGATGTCTGTCGTCGGTTTAGTTGCCAAGTTCGATGGAAAAAAACATACGTAACGAGTCCGTTTCTCGTCATTTTCATTAATCAACGCGGGATGCCGAGGAAAGCGAGGACACGTTAAGGTACGATAAATGTCATTCCTAATTAAGGGTTAGAATTAGAAATAAAAGATGGAAGGTTAATTGAAACGAAATCTATTTATTCTTCGAAGGCGAAGAATCGAGTTTTATTATATAAGTATAATTTATGATATATAGTCATGTATATATAATAAATTATGTAATTTATATATATATATAAATTATATAATTATTATGTATAATAAATATGAAATATTATTATGCACGATAAACAAATTAATAATTTATATTAATATTATATTAAATATAAACCTTTTAATATATTGATCGTTTTGCACTCAAAGCTTTTAAAGCGTCAAATAAATAATGTTTCCTCTCTTCCTGTATATCTTTTTCATCTTCATTTTCACCTGCATTAACGAAGTTCTATTTTATTAATAAAGGAAGCTCTCATATTTTTCTTTATTATATCATAGCCGTTAAAGCATATCTCTCTGTGCTGAAAATTATTAAAGATTAAGAAGACGATAATGGCAAGAATTAATAGCTTCATATGCGAGGAAATTTTACGAAAATGTATTGAACAATTTAAAAATTAACTTATTACTTATAAATTATTACTTTATTTATTTATTATTTATTTATTTCTTTAACAATTGACTCATTATTGTTTTCTTTTATTAAGTGAATATAAATAATTTGAATATAAATAATTGCACAATAAATCGTTAAAACGAAGAAACGTTTAGCGGATGTCTATAATTGCCCATCCATGCGATCGTTTTCCTTACATTTACTAATGAGAAAAGAGATCTGCAGAATCGGAAAAATATGGGGTATACCACTTCACTAGGATTTCCTTCTACGAACAATTATTATTACTTTATTCGTTTACTTTATCCGTTTATTTAAAACTCACTCATTACCGTTTTTCCTTTAAGTTGAAATGTAAATGATTGCATAACATCATTAAAACAAAGAAGCATTTAGCGGGTGTTTATTACCACCTACGCGAGCATTTTCCTTACATTTGCTAATGAGAAAAAAGATTTACAAAATCGGGAAAATATAGGGTATTCCAGATCACTAGGATTTCCTCCTACGAACAATAAATTATGTAATAGTAACGAATGACAGTGACATAACGGAGGCGTAATGTTAACAATGTGTGGCCATGTCAATCGATAACTGTGACCTTGTCTCATGCAAGATCGATCGAATCACGAAACGTTGAATCGTTAGCAATGCAGTAGATTCGCGCGAATAAAACTTAAATCGTTAAATAGTGAGTCATGAAAAATGATAAGCACGAGCCAAACCTTCTGTCTTATCTTTCCTATTAAATGCATAGCATTGAATTAGCCGCAGTTTCCTTGATTCCGATTGACGTAAAAAATGAAATATTGCGGACGCAGCAATCAAATTAACAACGCGATATCTGTAGCTTAGAAAAAGATTATAATTCCTTGATAGCGATCTTACTTGAAGAGAACGAAGAGAATCGCGAAGAGAATCGCGTATCGGGCCGAAATATTATCATATTGAATTAATATCCGCCTCGACAAATGTTTAATTATTTCGTTGTCACTTAAATTATTTTCTTTATTCACTTATTTGAAAAAATATCATTTTCACTTTTTTTTCGCAATAACCTATCGACAGAAGAAGTTAATTAACATCATATGATGACAAAGCGTTTCATTTAATTTAATTTATCCGTAAGTAGAACACGCATTGAGATCAGAGGTGTATCTCCCTATTGCATCGAGCGACTGTTTAATTGCTAATTGCGCACGCACTATTCGGTACAACAGACAATAGTTCACGCCAATAATCGTACATGATATTACGCAATGATATGCAAAACGAGTCCAGTGTCAGCCGTTGCATAAGCAAAACGGGCACATCCCGGTTAAACAATTTCGTGTCCATTTATTCGTCTTAACAAGCTTCGCTTGAATTACAACTGGTTTGCAGGGATACTGACAATGAGTTGTAACGTGCACATCGTGCACTCGATCATAGACATTTGTAGGCTCCCTAAGGAGCAGAATGCGGATGTTCTTAGCAACGCAACGTTGAGTTTTGAAAAATTCAATAAGTTTATTCAGCAAGTTTATCAACTTTTATTTTTCTAATTTTTCTCTATTTAATAATTTATTCATAACATTTCCATATTTTCGTCGTATAAATCTGTATTTATTTTAGTAAAACTTAAATCTTAAGAATTATATTCTTATTTCTATTAAATTCTTCTATATAATATATGACCGCTGTTCTGTTTAAATCTAGAGTTAATTCGATTTTTAAAAATATCTGGAAACAGCAACCGCCAGTGAAGAATAAACAAAAAGATTTCATTAAATAATATAATCAAATTATAATTTAATTAAAAAAGAATTGAAAATTTCCTTTGGGTGATTCAAAATGTAACTTTATATTGATTGAAAAGTATAGACGAGATTAACTATTTAATTATTTTCTTGGGAAAATATTTTTTTAAAGAATGACAGAAGTTTCTTTTATAACTTCTTGCATTAAAAATTTCTATCTTATATTAACGTCAATATAGATATTGTTGAACCAATATTCTCTTATCATTTATCAGAATTGCATAAGCTACTGACGATCCTATTTTTGCTACTGATAACAGTTTTGACGATTATCTGCAATAAGATGTTAGAAGCGCCTTCTGTGCTAAATTTTTTGTACTGTATGCTCATACCGACAAATAAGAATTTATTAAACGAGTAATTTTACACTTGTTTGTATATTATTTTTATAGAATTCGCATAGCAGATGGATTCATCCATCGATGGATTCTTCATATATACATACGCAGATGAAAAACGAAGTACGTATTTGAACAATGACGTTATTTTATTAGTGGAACATTAGTAAGTACGATAAAATTTTTACATTATTGCGAAAATAAAACGTTTCTAGGTTTCTTTCTATCTCAGTTATATATGTAATAAGTATTATTTTAATACTTATTACATATCGCTGTCATTTTGTGATAATATTAGAAGTGTACAAATCTGAGATTCCTTAATTGCTAATATTGACAATTCCGAGATTAATAATTACAGCATTAATGTAAATAACTGGTCCTATACTTAAATTAATTTGATCTCGGAATTACATATATTTCATTTAACATATACTAAATGATTAGCACTCATGGGTGCATCGGGGAAACGCTATTAGCGCTGTTTGTGTCATTCCATGTTTATCATTCATTAGATGTAAAACAAGGATAGAATGACACAAATAACGCTAATAGCTTCTCCCCGAACGCATCATATGTCTCTTGTTTCGCTTTGTATATGCAGTAATAGTTTCACGTGAAAACGTGAAGGTACAAATTTAATTTCATAATTAAGTATAATTATTGTAAATTATTATATAAAACTCAGTGATTTTTTTAAATAAAAAGAAAAATTAGCAAGATCTTATTTGAAAAATATAATTTACAATGAGGTCAGCAATGAGAGTACAGCGTGGTACTTTGTGCACAGAAGTTCATATATGTATATTTCATACTTAAAATTTACAGTCATGTTGGACAGGTTAAGAGACATAATTGTAAATTAGCTCGCTCATGATTTATTTACATTTTTATCTTTTTATTTTTCCCTATAATAACTGCAAATTTTTAATTTATTTCTGAAGGAATTTGTATTTTTACTTTCTCTTGATGGTTCTTTAAGCTATACACTTGCCCTTTCGATTTAAATGGCATCGGAGCAATAACTGTATCTCTATCCAAGAGCGTGAGATTTAAAAAATTTTCTCTTTCGCTGAGAATAACTCAATATGTAACAGAAACATCTGTTTTTACCATTCATCGTAAGTATGAAATATGTATGAATTTTTGCGTCGTACTTTCACGAGTAGTTTTACAGTCTACATTCTGCGTCCCAATCGTCCGGAATCACTTCGTGCCACACTTGCTTCAGGTTTTGCAATAGGCAAGGACTCGCGCAGTTAGGAATTTCCAAACGATGCGCGCTGTCCATTTCCGTATTATTCAAATACAGCGCCTTTGATAACAAACAGAAAATAGAATATATAATTAGTTTACTATATAATTATTTTATAATTTATAAATCACTAGAATAGCAATTGTGAGAGGTATAAGAGTATTTAGATAATATGCATGTAATATATTAGTATGCAAATACAGACTATTTTAGGAATTCCGGATGAATCTCAGCAATTATGCAGAGCCGCTAATTGTTACCATTAATTAATTAAATCGATTACGCATTATTTCCGGTAATTATATAACGTAATATCTATTATAATTTTCAATAATAATGTAACAAAATACTTGGACGGAATTTGCAGTGTGTTAAAGTTTTCGCGATATGTGAAACAATTTCTAATTATAAAAATGTTCATGGCTGTACATACCATAAAACTTTACGATAATGATACTACGATAACTATCCATACCTTTACTTCTTGATCGGCTCCATTATTGGTGAAGTGTAGCTCCAATATGATCATCGCCCCGTAATCTGGTTTAAGAAGCTCATTCGTGAAACCCATTGTCCTCATCACGTTAACGATAGTTATGTCGTGAGCGGAATAAAAATAAGATCGTTTCGACTTGGGATTGTCTTTACTCTCTTCCATATGATGTAAAATCTCTTTTAGCAGTGGGCCTAAAAATAGTGATAACATAATTTTCAGAACAAGATTTTGTGATATAATTTAAAAGGTGCATTTTCAGCGATATTTATCGCTGTAAAGATATCGTCGTACCTCCACGAAGACGTTTTTGGACAGTGCCCTCGGTGAAGATTGCGAGGCTACGAGCGGCTATTTCGCGCATCTTGTCGTTGTAAAAATTCTGCGTCCATGCTGGAAGCTGTAAATCGTGTTGCTCTTCGATCTCGAGGGTATTGTAAAGAAACTCGACGTCGGTGATCGTGCTCATATTCTGTCCGGTGTGCTTTGTTAGTTCCTTATAATACTCGGCCATATTCTCGTCCGATTTTTTTTCTTCCTCTATATACGCCTGTTTTAGAGCCGCCTCTAGCTTTGGACATGGTGCCTTCATCAAAATCAGCTACAATAATATCACTATATTGAAAAATAAGCTTCTTTATATTAGACTTTCATGTTTTTAACAAGTAATTTATCATCATTTGTTTAATTTTCTGCTGGCCAAGTTGGACTTTGAAATCATAATCGATATACTGATTGTGAATTTTGGTATTATATAAATCTATAAAAAATAAGTAAAATCCAATTCAACTTCTATGATAGTAAAAACTTGTTGTTAAAGCTTTCATGAGTATGCAAGATTTTTTTCAGATTTTTTTTACAGTCTGGAATAATATAAAAATCTGAACTGAGGATCAAAAACTCAAGTTGCTAACGGGAAATGCAAAATTTAACACGATCGACGGATCAAAATTGCTTACAAATATCTTCTTATCATATTGTACTATTTTAATTCGAGCGTTTTAACGGAATTTTATGCATAAAATTTGATGTTTACACGCAGATTATAGTACAATTAATTGACTCAAACTTGTTGCGATCTTAAGATTACAAATTACATGTTTTTTTTCTTCCTTGAACAATAAATATTAAAAAAGAGATCTTTTAAAACAAAGAGAGAGAGTGAATAGGACTTCTTTATATAAAATTTTAAACTGTAAAAAAAGTCTTTTGATTTAACATTATAAATGATATGATTTGGTTTTGTATTATACCTTGTCTAATTCCCGTGGTATCGAGTGTACAGGAACGGGAGTCCATGTCAAACCGGGCACGAACATGTCCTCGGGACTTGGTGTGAACAATCCGGCGAGTAATGCCAGTGCCGACATGACGCACCGATCCACGTAGCTGCTACGTACCAGCGTGGCTGTGCTCTTGAATTTACGACCGATTATAGGGCCGTATTTTAAGCGTATCCATTGACCCATGTTATACAGTTGACGCATTCCTTTCTGAAAGTGGATTTTGAGATTGATAACGCGCGTTGTGCACCATTATTCATGCTCGATCACGCGTTTTACAACCACGATGCATGTTGTGCGCAAGGATGTGATTTTATTTATCCAGCAAGTCTGGACATATATTATCGTATTATATACGGTAATATCGATTCATCGGTATCTGTGTGTATTTTGTTCGAACCTTGGTCAAAGAGCCCCAGCCACCGGACCAATCGTAATTTATATAAGGGTCCTTAGGATAGGTCTCTGTAGGAGTTCGGTCGCCATGACGAAACAGCTGTCAACAAATAATGACGATTTCTGTATGAGAAAAAAATACTGTTCATTTAACACGCAAGTTTACCGCGCTTTTCCTCATCTAATGAATTCTTTGATTAATTCCTGAAGCAAAATTCGTTTAGATGCTATTTAAAAAAAATTAAAGTAACAGATATTTTTAATATATTAAAAAAGAAGTCTGGTAATAGCTATTAAATGTATCTCGTTTAGCGCACACATTTGATGAAATATTTACTTAAATTATTATTATGTTTGGTTCACACTATTATTATCAAACGTAATTATAATTAATTACAGAGGTATAAAAATATAATTAAGATAATATTTAGAAAAATAAAATTAGCGTTTAGTTTTGATCATATTATATATATATAATCAAACATTTTAATTATTTTATTAAAGTAAAATATAAATTTTATTTATATTTTATTAACCAAACATTTGATTGAAATTATTTTATCAAAACTTTAGTAACTATCATTTAGACTTGATTATTACCAGTTTTTTTTTCAATATACCGGACATATTTTAATGAACATTAATCTCTCTATTGCATACCATTTATGATGTTAAAATAAAGTGATTAAATATCTCGTAAAATTGTGAAGTTAACAGATTTAAATTTCATGAAACGTAAACATTAAAATTAAATTAACGGGTTAATGGAAGCGGGGTGGCAGAATGATGGGCCAACTGTTACAAACGAGCTACTCACAAAAACCACCTGCTGTAACGTGTCACGTTCGGTAACCAGAGATGCAAACGCCGTGTACGCTAACATCATACAAGCGATGAAGGTTCCGAGTATAACCACGCTCACGCAAACACCAAGCTTTCGGATACGACAATTACCCATCGAGGTTCGTCCTTTGGCCCGATCCATTTGGCCCAATTACACGTTTCCCGTAGCAATCCCAAGTAACTTCTCCGATCGCAGACTAGATGGTAAACGAGAGCTCGTTAGCGGCTAACGTAATGAGTCCGGTACAAACCTATAGTCATTTAGCAGTTGTCCCTTGTGTAAAATAAGTTAGTAGACATATAAAGTTACTTTGCGCGGTTGAGAACCAGTTGCTTTGTTTATCTCAATTGGAGTTATTCCTTCAGTTCGTGAATCATTATTTTAGCAAAACAGAGAAATCTAGATTATACAGATCTAACAATAACGATAAATTAAAGAAATAAAAACGCGATAATCTTTTCACATTTTTAAAGTTCGATATCTATGTTTGAAACTGATCTAAATTACAAAATTATATATTTCTTAAAAACGCAATTGAAAAATTCTTTTCCCTCGTGTGACAAACATTTAAACAAAATGAGACTTCCACGTTCAAATCAAAGAAGAAACTATTAAGTTAAAGATAGCTTTACTTATTTTCGTATGAAAGATCACGAGCTTTTCCGGCTTTGCAAATAAATGAATCACTGAATTCAATTAAGGTAAATGTCCCAGTAGCCGGACGTTTAAGCGTTAGGTTCTCATAAATAATACAATTTATAATATCAAAAAAGTTTTTAATATAAATATTTGTATTCATTTGAAAACTCAAGACTCCCTTAAGCAAGGAAAAATTATTTGAACCCACTTATAACAATTATTAATTAAAATATTTAAATAAATAATAGAATGCGTCAATGTACCAGTGGCCGGACAAGTCGGTCGGATACTGGCTACGTTTACACCGTGCATTTAGGCCGCGGCCTATACAATAGATATCCTTGTTTATCCTGTAGGTCAAACAAAGACACTTATCGTATAGGTCGTGGACTAAGCGCACGGTAAACGTAGCCACAGAGACGTAATTGTCCCAGTGTCCGACCACAATTGGAAAATTAATATGCTGACGGAAAATAATAATATAAATAGATGTTTAATGACAAAAGACAACTAATTCAAATTGATCTTTAAGGTAAAAAAAAGCATTTGAGATTAATATCAATATAAATAAAGTTTTGTGTAATTGTCCGGATATATGGCATGTTCTTTTTAGCTGAACTTTTCCACCAGTTCATCTTTTTTCCTTTTTTCTCCAGGAGGAAAGATGAAGAAGAAAGATGAACTGGTGCAAAAGTTTAGCCAAAAAGAACAGACCTATAAGTACTGTCTGATCCCAGTGACTGGACATGTACCTATGTCCATTTACGTAACACTTTATTTATTTAAGTTAATATTAGTTTATTTAAGTTAAATTATAATCTTTAAATGCAATTAAATTATAATACTGTAATAAAAAAAGCATTTGAGATTAATAATAATAAATTTTGTGTAAGTGTCCGGACATAGGTACATATCTGGACACTGGGTTTACACGTCGGATAGTTTCTCTGAACTGTGTATATTAGAAAAAACACTTGTTTCTCTATTAGATAAAGAATACCAATGCGCTTATCGCAGACTTCTCTATTTGTCATGTCGTGGCAAGTTTACCTCTGCTTGTACACAACGTGGGACGTCGTTCGATTGCGTCAGCACTAAAAACTACCGTATTCGATACGGCACTGCGATCGCTGCAGCACGTCACGCGGTATCCTCTTCGTGTTCTTCGTGAAGGGAGGAACGCGCGGAGGGAGATGCGAGATGCGTGACGTGCGTGAACGCTGAACGAAATTGCACGTACTCGTGATTTGCAATCCGAAACGTGCGGCAGTCGGTCGGACTCGCGAATCCGATAACACACACTCTGTTATTATTGCTCTGAATCACAGAATCGTCCGCGGATGAGAGCAGACATGCGTTCATTTCACGTTCTCTTCTTTGCAGCACGCTCATCCTCGCACTGTATGTACGTAACTGGAAGATTGACCGTGAAGGCTTACATATACATGTGCACGTGTATTCGTGTGTCATACTTACGTAAATTCCATATAAATGCGCATCTGACTTTCAGTTGCGCATCAGTTGCCTCTCGATTAAGCAGCGATGCATTGTTTTCTTTTCATTATAAAGTGACTTCGTTCGATGTCTGTGCGACGTTTGAAGTTGATATCGTTAATGGCTTTAGTCTGTTAGCGACCTTTATCTCTTATTGATAGTAAAGTGTTGATAACTGTTTGACACATTATTAATGTTTGGCAATAAGATATAGATAACCGCGTGTTTTATTATTGGAGTATTCTTCGAAAATGATGAATGTTATTCTAAATACATAGTTTCATAATAATACATTTATTCTTTTTATTTTGTCAAGCTATTTATTAGTTAAATCGAAACCTACATTGTCTATTTGTTGAAAAATTAGTATTGATATTCTTTAAATTTGAGTTTTAAAATAAACTAGTTTTTTTATTTTGTGACCTAATTATTTACTCATATTTGATCTCTCTGTTACCTTTATTGGTTAGCAATAACATTTGAGCTTGAAAATTGATATTGCCACTTTTGAGAGCACATAGCAAAAAAATTTTTAACACGTTCTATTAAAAGTACTCAAAATATTCTCAAATGATATTATATTTCTTATATATAATTTTTTACGAAACAGTCAAACAGAACGTTGACGTTTTTTGTACTGTTATTTCACTGTCGGCAATTTACAATACTAGAGGAATATGCTCCTCCATATCGTGTGTTTTACTGCGTATCGTGTGTCCCCTACTCTAAAATTTAGTGATAAAGAGAAACAGGCTGTATTTAGCATTGGACATAAAGAAAATACGGAATATGTTGTGGAAATAAATATGCGCGCATGGCTGGGTTAAAGTAACTTTTATTTACGATCAGTTTTTACTAGAGGCGCAATAAATTTTTTTTATGATACACAGAAATAACGCAGGTCGACTTCACGCGCTTCGTTTTGGGTTTCGGTGATAACCAAACAACAGGATTTCGCGATTAAGCGAATAAATCGCTTCGTCCGTGCAGAGCACACATTTATTTCTGAAATGGTAGGTAATTTATTCGCGAAACGAGATCCGCATACGTCGATCAAAAAACGAACGATATCATACGTCACGTATTGGAGCAACAGGAGTTATGTTGCAAAATAATCGTAAAAATACGACAAACGTTATCATACATTTATAATAATATTAGGATCCATTTTTTGTAACTATTAATTAATAGTCGCTTAATTAATATTATCTGTAGATTATTTTAATGACGTATGTTAAATACCTTTTCAATCGAAAAGTAATCTAAATCTTGGAGTAATCATAATTATCTCTATATCGAACATTGTTCTGTTATTAAGACATATAATATACGAATAATTTTATATTGTTAAAGAAGTACAATCTGACAATCTCGTATAGTTTACTTGAACTCCAAGTCTTCTCAATTGTAGCATATGTTGTCATCGAATGCGATTAACGGAACCGTTGTCGATACTTACTGTGCACTTTGGTTACCACCTGTTGACAGGAATGCACAAGCCAAATGTCAGAATAGCGTTTAGTTTAAATAAAAATTTAAATTTCGTTTATATAATTGAATCATTCCTAGCGTTTGGAATTGTAAAAGTCTGTTAATATATCATTGAAAAATGCTACAAAAGTAAATCCAGCCAGAAATGGTTGATCGATCGACGTTGAATCAGCATCGATTCGATGTTGATCGATCAATCATCTCTAGCTGGAAAGAATTTTTATATTTCAAGTAATTTATTGGACACTTGATTAACTTCAGTCAGATTACATATAATCGAATTCGGAAAGTCATACGTTCGACATTTGTTTTCTCAACACGATTTGTAATACAACAATATATCGGAATATCGAAAAGCGCATCGAGCTGCTTTCTTCCTTTTTTTTATTTCAAAATAAATTGGACATTTCTTTTTGCGCATCCCTGATCTACGGACTAATTCTAAGTCTATAACATGAAAGAGGGACGAAGTTTTACCACCTCTACGTCGTATTTTTATATATTTTATGCAAGCGCATGTGCATCCGGTACACGTTGCGTGTTACATAAGATGTAGATAGAGCTGACGTTGGAGCTAGTAAAACAAAGTGATCTAAGTAGCAGGGTCCTCAAATCGTTTCGCGCGACACGCCGAAGTGCCGTAAAACGCTCGATACGCATAAAATTAAAAAATACGATCGTCCGAAGCCACCGCGAAGTGGTTAGAGTTTCTTACGTAACTCTAGCCGATCGACGAAATCAGATTTGCTGATGAGAAATTCGCACACAACGCATATTTGTCGTCGGCGCAAACGAAGTTTGAGAACGCCTGACCTAACGAACGCAACATCGATTATGATTATCATAGTAAGTACGACGAGGCTTCTTTTTTTTTACAAGAGAGATACTAGAATATTGGAAAAGGGAGGAGATCGAGAGACGAAAAAAGAGGAGTGCGAGGAATCGTACAATACGTCGTTTGGTATGAAAGTTTAACGAAGCGAGCGTTCAGAAGCTGCGGGAGACAAATTATTCCACGTGCGTAAAGGATTAAGGAAAAATTCTCTCTCGCATGCAGTGTTTGTTCGGGGGAGGAATTCGTCGCGGTATACGATTTCAATTGCAGATAGTAATAAATGCAGCCCAGAAGTGGAGCGTCATCGATTCGCGGAGGCGCGACTCGAAAGAGCCCTTTTGTTGAATCGGCGAAATGCTACATCTATCCACTTTGTTTATTTTACGGCAGGAATAAAGTTGCTAATCCATACGCGATTCTTGCATAATAAATATAACGAAGGAATAAAATAATGGCAATAGCGATATCTGGCGAGAATATTTTTACGATACTTAAGAATTTTTTTTTGTATCTGTTGAAAGGAGGAAAGAAACATTTGATCGTAAAAACAAGTCGAACGATCCACCGTATAAAATTAGGTTATAAAATTGTTATAAGAGATATGGATGTTAATAAAAATCCACGAGTGAACGGAAACTCTAAAATCTTACCTGAATTAGCCTATAAAATTTTTAGAAAAACTTTGTCATTTATTATTAATCAATTCTTAAATAAAGATTGAATTGTGTTCTATCGAACTGATATATTATAGAGCACAAATAAACGAACTATTTAATGTGCTATTTGTGTCCATTATAAATACACAGATATATGTACTTCAAATTTATTTTAAATGAAAGCATTTCCACTCGAAGCAATTATATCGCATCCGCTTCTACATAAACAAAATAAAAAGCGATTAAACAATGCAGTTGCAAACTGCCAGTGGTGCAACTAGAAGGAGTGTGCAAAAGCTGTAAATGTGCGAGGAGATTAAATGGGGGAATGTAAAATTGATCAAATTTATCAACACCGATTAACTATAATCGTATCTATAATCGTATCTCTAATTTTTAATTAAGGAACTTATGCTATTTTTGCGCTTTGACGGAAATGTATATGTCTATACACACTCTACGGGTTTATTTGAGAGAAGAGAAGTAATTCATCGCTCGAGTGCATTTAGTTACGCCACTGGCAACGGACGATTCTGAGATCAGTGGTTCAAGCTCGAGGTAGAGATAAAGTGGAAGGATCGAGTCGGGAATGACGTTATTACGAGTTGTATAGTAATCTCTCTGCATCAGTGATCGTGTCTGCGATCTACGCTTGTTCCGAGCGACGCCTTCGTCCGGGACCGCCGGCGTAGTTCGCTGCCGCGAGTCCCATCAAGTGTTTCGCCGCCTGAGAACCGCTGAAGCCACGATTGAGACCCAGATCCAATCCTCGTTTGGTGCTGTGAACGTATCAATTGAATGGTTATTTGAATCGACCATCTTAGAAAGGGCCTTGCTCCGACAAACACGAGTTCGCAAAACTCAAGAATCACAAAAAGCATTCGAGTTAGCACACATCTCGACGTAACTATATATAATAAGAGTCAGACGTCTCCGATTCTATCTGCTCTTATATCAATTGATTGAAACCAAGTCTCTTCTATATATGAATGTGTGCCGATGTAAAAAAGGACACGTACAGTGAAAATCCATTATCGACATTTTTAAAATAAAGCCCTTCCTAAAATGAGTGGTTCCATTTATATCCGGTGGAATTAAAGACAAATAAAAGAGACATTGCGGTACGGAAGAAGTATCAAAGGAAAAATGATATTCTGAGTAGAGTGCTCGTTGACAAATCCCAAATTTCCTATATTAAAATCCTTTTTAGTGCTTTTTTATTGCCAGTTAAATTCTTATTAAATAATTCTTAATGAATTTTTTAATAAGTTTTCTTGAAAATCAATTATCTAAAATATTACCGACTAAAGCAGTAAACACAGTATAGGCAAAAAATATATATACGTACATATATATCTATAGACAATATATTCAGTTGAAACAAAAATTCGTAGCGCTACTTTATTTATGTCTGTGTTTAAAAAAATTTGGCAATTATATTATTCGATAGAGCAAAATTTCAGCTTTAAGAATCTATTTTTGGATTACGGTACGATGATTTTTAACGGAGTTATAAACAAAGTTAAAATGCTTCTTTTATTAAATCTGCGATAGCAGTAACAAAAATAATAATAAACTTAAGGAAGTTCAACTATTACTTTTACAAGTTTTTTTTAGGCATATGACAGGCCCACAAAGTGGGGAGAAAATTTCCTATTTTGTTCAGCTAATAGTTTTCTATATGTAAAAATTACCACACAAACAGAAACTCAGGAGACATAGGCTGCGTTCAGCAAACTCAACATATTCGCTGCTATTGATGTATTTTTCTAGATCTATAAGTCTGATTGGATGATCTAGAAGACATTAATAATAGCAAGCGCTCACTCAACTGTTAAGTCTGCTGAACGCAGTCATAGAGATCTTTCGTAAGTAGAGACTTTAAGCTTTAAAACTGTTTTTGACAGTTAAATTTTGTTCATTTTTAACAAAGTTTTAGCCGCTTGAATTTTGAAGTGTTACGAATGTTTGTTTTAACTTAATATTAACAAAATTAACATCTCACATGAATTAACCTGCCAGCATGCCTGTCTAAAATGACATAAGATATAATGTTTAAAAGGCGTTTTACGTTTCAACATGAATTATGCATAATGTTAAGATATCATTGTATAACATTATCTTACTTTTCCATCTCAGGGCGGTTCATGAC